CCCAGGAGAGGGGATCTTTTTAAAATAGCCTATGTGATCAACGGTTATTCTTATTGTGTTCATGCAAACAATCAAGCCAAATGAACTAAAAACTTTGGAGTAATTAAGTCTACTGTATTAACTAGACTTAATACAGTAAATAAATTGGTTTTAAGTTGGCTCTTTAATAAAAATGAGGGTGATTTTAAAGAGAAAAATTGTGTTTCAATAGGAAATTATTAGAACTGAAATGTTTTTTTCTTTTATCAGACTATTGCCGTAATTCTTGCTATTCTAACTTTTGCCCAGTAATATTAATTTTTATAACACAGTTTGACTCCACCAGCTGACAAGCCCTACTCACACTCAGGGAATACCACCTCTAGAAACCCTGCCACCTCCTTCCGTGCCCAGGCCTCATCATCCCTCTGACAGAGAGCAAGCAGCTCTTGGCTCTGAAGGAAAAACTTCGCCCCTCCTCCGCAGGAAGCAGTACAGAAGAGACCCTGCGCCCCTTTTCTCTGGAAGAATTCGGAGCCAAGATCCTTGAGGGCATGTGGTAGGCAGTTAGACAGACCTGAGCAGAGCCAAGGACGATGGGCCAACTGGAGGAGAAATGGACGACACCCTGAAGCGTGCTTCTCACCACTCCAACTGCTCTGAAGCTGGCAGTGGAGGAACCTATATAGATCTGACCTTTACATCTTGCTGAGGAGCTGGGACACCTACTGATAATATATAAACTATTCCATTCATTTTGGGGAGAAAGTCACAGATGGGGACCTTTATATGTTGGGACCCACTGTCTGGGAAAAGGATGCAGGGATGTTTCCTCTAAGTTACTGCAGTCGTTCCCTGTGGTGAATGTCTGACTTTTACCAGGTGTTCTAGTTATTGTCCTTAAGTATCTAATAACTACAATATGAATTGTTCCGATAACTCCACCCTCCCTCATAGTAATGGACATACTAAGCTGCTGGCTGGTGGTTTCTGATATGTGGGTAACTATTTATCCCTGTTAACAGCACCAGGGGGCCCTGTTCCACAGGATGACTGTCTTTATGCCTCAGAAACATCACAGGGTTTAAATCAAAAGAGACTTTCTCAAGCCCGAGGCACCGGACTGCAATGACCGTCTCCACCTGTGAGCCTGCCGCCTATATTGCTTTGACCATTTTTGTTATGCCAGTAATGGTAGGCTCCCTTAATGCAAAAGTGACCCGGCTGGCTTGTAGCAAGGTAAAAGCCGTAATGCCACCTCCAGGGCTATGCATGGGATAAAGCAAGAGCTCAGCCAGGTCAGGGAGGCAGTTCTAGAGAATCGGGCAGCAATAGATTGTTTGCTGCTGCAGCATATCCATGGTTGTAAGGAATGTAAAGGAATGTGCTGCTTTAATCTTCCTGACAATTCTGTTTATAGAAAACATATCCAAGATCCTTCATTTATTTCGTGTATTCCATCCCTGGGAACTATTTTTAAGGCAGAAGCAGCTCAGTTCCAGCAGGATGAGACGCTTCATCTAAAACTAATCTCATAGATATGAGCTGATAGGAATAGCAGCGGGGAAATGTTAGGGGCAAAAATAGAATATTGGGGACTAGCTATGGTTATGGGAAATATTAATCACGCTCTGTTAACCACGACTGCCTTGTGTTAGTTAAAGGACATTCTGATCTGGCTGGGAGTTGTACGCCCCAGGACCTGGGAGTGAACCCTGGACCTGGGAGTGAACCTTGGGCTGGGAGTCAGCCTCTGAATGTGGTCCATTTTCATTCAAGAACTGCCTGTCACCACGGAAAGGTTAACAACCTTGTTGTGCAAACAATGGAGTCCCACCCCAGCCTCCCGCTTCCCCATGCCTGTATCCCTGCCTCCCCCTGTGTAAGCTGCTGTCCTGCCCTATGTAAGCAGCTGGCTTATGGGGGGCTGCAGAGCAGATTTTTGTGGATGACCTGCTGCTCTTCCATACTGCCAGTAGTATTGGACTCCGGGAACTGCGGGGAAGCGTACGACATTTTCATATGGTTCTACTTTGTTTAATTAGAATTGACTCTGAATGAAGTACCATTTTGCCCTCTGTGAAAGCGCCTTGAACTTTCTCCACTCGGATGGATTTCTCAGTTTCGTTGCCAGGCAACCGTGCTTGATTGCTAGTTCGCCTCTGCACCAAAAAGACTCAACCGCACCACACGCACGTTCGCTTTGCATTTTTTAAGCATAAATAATTCTTCTTCTCTTTAGAAAGCAGTTGGATTTTTTAGTTCCTGGGTTATTGACAGATCTGCCCCATAATCTGTTTATATTTTTGTTGAGAAACAGTTCTGGTTTGCTCACTTTAACTTCTGTATCAAATGAACAGACCATAATTTTTCCATTTGGGGTGATTCCAACTTTTCGCAACCACAAAGCTGCGGTGCACATCTTCGTACACGTCTGAGGCCCACAGCCGGGAGAGGCACTCACGCGTCATGGGAAGAAGCAGCTTCCTGTTTATTAATTTCCAGTTCCCTAACCAGTGGGGAGGGGAGCACTTTTGCGCAGGTTCATTGGCTGTTCAGTTTCCTCTCCTGAGAATGGCTGTTCAACGCCTTTGCCAGCTTATTTCTTGGGCTGTTGGGCTTTATTTAGGGTTGTAGTTCTCTCCATTCTGGATACAAATTATGTTCCTTAAATGCACAATGAAGAACCTTGTTGAGGCTGCGGACTTTTCACTTCGTTTACATTATTGTTTTGGGTTTTGTCTGTTTGTATAAATAGAATATTGACTTTGATGTGATCACGTTTTCTGATCTTTTCCCTTTCACTGTGTGCCTTCTGGCATTTTAAGAAATAATTCCCTACCCTTTTAAAAAAATTTTGTTAATTCTCACTTGAGGATATTTTTTCCATTGACTTTTAGAGACAGGAGGGAAGGAGGGAGAGAGAGAGAGAGAAACACCGATGGGAGAGACACATTGATTCGTGGCCTCCAGCCTGAGCCCCTACTGGGGCCAGAGATGGAACCTGAAGCCCAGGCACGTGCCCTTGCCTGGGAATCGAACCTGAGACCCTTCAGTGCTAGGGCCAACAATCCAACCACCGAGCAACACCGGCCAGAGCTGATTCCCTACTCTTTACATCATACAGTCTCTTACAGTTCCATTTTGCCTATTTACCTCTTTAATCCACCTAGAATTAATTTCCAGTACAAAGTAGGAATCTAATTATATGTTTTTCCAGATGGTTAACCGATGTTCCAGTATCTTTTATTAAGTGACCCATTTTATCCTCACTGATTTATCACAGGGGCTCAGTCATTCACTGCACTTCTACACCCCTACAGGCCAGTTTCTGCTTCTCCACTATTTTCCATTGTCTAACGGTGTTTCTGCACCAATGTGACACTGTTTCAATGACTGTATCTTAAATTATATAAGTCTCCTGCTTATTCAAAACTATCTCAACTACTTTTGGCTCTTGACTCTTCCAAACAAACTTAGGAAGAGAATTTTCAAGTTCTATGAACAATTCGATTGCACTTTCATTGGAACTACACTGAATTTATAGACTGATTGGGGAAAGCAGGCATCTTGGTGGTTTGTGTCTTACCAACCATGAACGTATCTCTTGATTTATTAAAGTGTTCTGTGTCCTTCAGTGATAAACACCTTAAAGCCGAATGGCTCATAATAGCTCTCCACAGATCATGTCTACTGCTCAACTCATTTCTGGACGAGAAAGCACAATCAGAAACCGTGAGAAGGATACATGTCTGCACCACTCCAAACTTGAGCTGCGTGAAGAGGCGCACAAAGAAGTCCACGAAGAGACCCACCTGGGAAGAGCAAAGGAGCGTCAGTCACACAGCTTCCTGGTGGGTTACGGGCACTGCCCTCAAAAGCACAGACTTCCCCCGCTGCGTTCACAGAGCACGCACGCCTGCTGCGCACGCGCACCTGCGCTATCAACCAGCAGTGGGTGATGGGCGTTCGTTAGTGACTCTGGCCCTGCAGAGGCCCCGCTCCAGCCTTGCCCCACTGCCCACTAAAGAACAAAAGAATGGAGTACAGCTATGAGAGGAGCAAAGTAAAACAAAGAGAGAAAATTATGCAGAAAAAGATGTGAGACCAAGGAAGACCACTGTGCCTTTAGCGATGTTTAGCTATATACGCACAGAGCTTAGATTACTTTGAAAAAATCAACAGCAAACTTTTAAGTTGATTTTAGAGAGAGAAACATTGATGTGAGAAATATCAATCAGCTGCCTCCCATATGGGCCCTGACCGGGATTGAACCCACAACCTGGGTATGTGCCCTGACTGGGAATCGAACTCAACATCTTCAGGTGCATGGGATGATACTCCAACCCACTGGGCCAATCTGCTCTGGGCTAGCTTAAATCACTTTGTATGACGACATTCACTTAGCTGTATATGGGTTTTGCAAGTTGGTTATTTCTATTTTACATAAGTCACTACTTTGACTTTTAACTGTCTTATGTAGTCAATGATTACCCTGATCAACCACTCTTCCACTCTCATAAGTCCCTGCTCTGGGCTTAAAGGAGAACTGGAAAGACTTCTCATTTTGTAGATTCAGGATCAAAGGATTCATGCCTTTAACTCGACCTCCCTCAAGCCAATGCTGAGGCTTTTAACATTAAAGCAGTAAGTGGTGAGAGATCAAAGGACAAGAGAGCCAGTAGCAAGAGGAACAGGTAGTACGTTCTAAAGGCAGGTCTGCCTGCCTTTAACATGAGGGTGGGAGGTAAAGCTGTTACTATTGATAAATGGCAGCTCAAAGGAGTTTGATATGAAAGTGGCAGAAAGACTAAACTAGATAGCTAATGACTATGCCTATTACAGGGAAATTTGCACCCAGAACCATATATAGCAAAATTCACACTCTGAAATTTCCACAAAACAATTAAATCCACCCAAGTTGCCCCACACTGGTATCATTCAGAATGTTACCAAAGAGGCCTCTAAGTGCCATTAGTCTTAACTACTAAGATGTTCCCTGACCTCTAATTTACTAGAGTAAAAATTGGACAAGTGCCGTGAAAACAAAAACTGTGGTCGGCCCTTGTGGCTATATTATATTAAAAACGTGTTTACATTTTATGGGTATACCATGTATACTTAATTATGAGACTTGTGGTCAATTCTAGAGAAAGATGATAAACAGGCTGCTGCTTAGGAATGAATATATATATATCCCTTATTATGGACTGACTGTGTTTGCCCCCAACCCCAAATTCATGTTGAAAGCCTAACCCCCAATATGATGGTATTTAGAGGTGGGGGCCTTTAGGAGGTGATAAGGCCTCATGAATAGGATTAGTGCCCTTATAAAGAGACCCCAAGAGGGAAAAGGGACTGGGGGAGTGCAGAATAGGTGAAGGGGATCAACTGTATAGTGAGAGGGTTACTCGACTTACAGTAATAAACACCATGTAGTATACACAAATATGCTATATAATAAAAGCCTAATATGCTAAGTGTCTGGTTGTCCAATTGGAACCCGAGTGCATGAATTTTGTGCACCGGGCACTGCCCTCAAAGGCACAGACTTTTGAACTACTAGTTGAACTATAATGTAATATACTTAAAATATGCATTATCTTATATACCAAGTTTATCATGATTAAAGAGAGACCCCAGCCAGAGCTCTCTTGCTCCCTTCTGCCATGTGAGGACAGGGCAAAGATGGTCATCTCTGAACTGGAAAACAGGTCCTCAGCAGACACTAATCTGTTGGCCCTTGATCTTGAACTTCTAGCCCCCAGAACTGTGAGAAATAAATGTCTGTTTCAAGCCATCTAGTCTATGGTATTCTTGTGATAGCAGCCCAAATGGACCAAGACAACCCCCTATTTAACACAGCAATGATGGAGAATCAGATTGGACTGGTCTCGTTTGGACTGGCTGTGACCTTTTTCAGCTTTTCTTTGCCAGGTTTTACCATGGTAAGTCAGCAGCTATGGTTCCAGACCTTGTGCTACTATCATCTTTGGCAATGTTTCATAATCTTTTCTTGTCCATGATTCATGTGTGAATGTGCTGACCCCAGAACCCTATGCTTTCAGGTGTAATCCTCTGCCCAAACCAGCCACTCCACCTTCTAGAAAAAACGAGCAATGTGCAGGGAAGAGCCCAGGCCAGCACAAAGCATTCACTGAGATCAGCGGTGTCCTGGTGACTGGCACACTGTGCTGAAGGCAAGGGCGTAAGCTTTAGTTTTGTTCCCATTACTTTGCTTTTTCCCTATAGAGTGACTCAACATCCACTGAGTACTGCCCCCTCCATGTTGTCTACCTGACAGGGCCATAGCTTATCGTAAGAGAACTTGACCCAACCTTTGAGTGCTTTAAAGAACACCGAAGTTGTATGACTTACTTTCGTTTCATAAAGTGCAAGAAAAAGAGAAATATAAAAAAGTGTCAGATTATTAATTAAGAAAAGAAAGAGGAAAAAAGACAAGGCAGTCCCTGTTATGACAAACAACATATTTGTCAGGCTGGAGCTTGACCTCTGACCCGCTCCAGACCTCTGGCCCACTCCCCCTGCCCCCCCATGCCCCGCCTGCTCACCAAACCCGTGCAGACTCCAATGGCAAACATCATCATCCACTTCACCGCCTCATACCTGCGACCTTTCTGTTCACACAGGAAAAAAATGACTCAGTTTCAGGATTATGTTAGCAGCAGGGAAGGAACACAACTTGGCCAACCAGTTTTAGAGTGAATTTCACAAGGACAGCAAAAATGTCAAAGATGATGTCTGATATGGAGGGTGCTTTATAATGCAAGAATGATGGACTCTAAGGGGTTGGGTCAGCGGGTATTTGGGTTGGCAGGAGGAAGTAATCTAAGGGATAAATGCTGTTGCCTCATGAGGGTTAAAAGGACAAGGGGTAAAGGTAAAGGAGCTATCGTAAGACCTCCTCAGTCCCAAGAGATCAATAAGGGACTCACCTTATTATCCATGGTCTCCAAAACTTCCAGGTAAGGGTCATTGATACAGCGATCATAATCCAAACTCTGAAAGAGGGCCAAGAGTAAAAACGTCATACTATGGTACACAATCCCATTTTGAGTAAATAAAATTAAGATTTTTTATGTCAACATACAAAAAGCAAAAGCATCTGGGAAAACTGTTAATAATGGCTATCTCTGAGGTAATAGTTTAGGAGGTGTTCTTCATATCTGGGCATTGTTTGAAATTTTCACAGCAAACACGGTACTTTCTATATCTGCAAAAAGAATTTATTTTTTCTGATTACAAAAAAACACACCACAGAGCCTTACCTGGTTTGGCTCAGTGGATAGAAAGGTCTGGGGTTCGATTCCGGTCACGGGGAGATACCTGGGTTGTGGGCTTGGTAAACAGTAGGGGCGGCAGCAGGCAGCTGATCAATGATTCTCTCTCATCATTGATGTTTTGGTCTCTCTCCCTCTCCCTTCCTCTCTGAAATCGATATATATATAAATAAAAACACAGCGAAAAATTCTGCTGAGAAACCAGACCCATCCATGAGTGATCAAGTATATATTTATATATGTGTATATATATGTTAATCAAGTTAGTGACATCACATTCTAGGAACAAACAAGGGAAAAAAATTAAAATGTTGAAAATATGAATAATCTTCATACCAAATATTTATAGAAATGACTGGTCAGTTAATTACTTGTTTGATGGTTTTGCCTAATAATGCTATGACTCCACAAACAATGAAAAGGTTTTCAGATGCCCAGAAGAGGCAACTCTATAGCAACAGGAAGTAGATCAGTGGTTGCCTAGGGTCAGGGACAACGGGCAGTGACTCTGCTAATGAGTACGGGGTTTCTCTCCAAGGTGACAAAAATGTTCTAAAATTGATTTGGTGAGGGCTGCACAACTCTAAATATATTAAACATACCACTGACTTGTACACATTAAACAGGTAAATTGTATAGCATGTGAATTATATACTAGCCCTAACCCTGAATAAAGCTATTTAAAGGGGCATTTAGAAACAAATGCAATGCCAGAGCATCAATCTTTTCTTTTTTAAAAATATATCAGCTGAGAGCCTAACACTCTGTAAAATATACATCAATGAACTATATATGGTCTGTATTAAAATAAGATATTGTCACTTCTCTCTCTCTCTCTCTCTCTCTCTCTCTCTCTCTCTCTCTTTTTGGTTAATCCTCACCCAAGGATATTTTTTTCCATTGATTTTCAGATAGTGGAAGGGAGGGGGCAGGGGCAGAAAGAAGGAGAAGGGTGGAGGTGAAGAGAGAGAGAGAGAAGAGAAAGAAATGTGAGAGAGCCACATTGATTGGCTGCCTCCTGCACATACCTGACCATGTCCTGGGATCAAACCTGCAACCCAGATTCGTGCCCTTGACGGGAATCAAACCCGAGAGCCTTCCATGCTCCAGCTGACACTCTAACCACTGAACTACACCAGCCAGGGCTGTCACTTCTCTACCATGACTCACTTCCTTTTATTTTTGCTGTATATGTTGCTCTTTGATTTGGGGGAATAACAACTTAAAAATTTTCTACCTTTCTCTCCTTCTCCCTTCCTCTCTGAAAACAATAAAATCAATAAAACTATATTTAAAAACGGCAGGGGGCTTGTTAAACAGCCCCTTCCCCAGAGGGAAGTTACCTCTCACTCACTCCCTTGGTTGGCATCCTAAAGCTCCCCTCTGAGGAGCCCAGGTCGGTCACTGCTTTTGTTACCAAGACAGCAGCTAAGAAGCTCACCTCATAGTCTTTCCTTGGCAGGATCTCATCCTCCTCCTCCTGTGTTTCTCCAAGGATGGTCTAGAAAAACAGATCCACAGAAGGGAGACCCTCTTAGTGGTTAAAAGGAACAGGAGGCAGAAGTGTTTACCGACATCTGTTGCTAGTAGAACCACTGTCATCAATGGGAACAAGATTGCAAAAAAAACACAAAAACAACCCACAAAATCCTTTTGGGATAGGGGGTGATGTGGGTGGGGATCCAGCTGAACTTTTCATCTCAATTGATACATTCTCCAAATAACCACTCTTGTCTTCCGGACACGTCAAAGATGCCCACTGCCAGCTTCGGCGGGGAAAAAATCCAGGTCCGTCTGACAAGGTGCCCAATCTGAAATCCGAAGGGACCTGTCAGCTTTGGGGACACAGCACCTCCAGTTTTCCCAGGATGCCTTGCAGGGGGAAGCTGGCTTGTCAATGATCCCGAAAGGCTTAGGGACGGGGTGAGAAAAGCGCTGGAGAACCTAAGCCAGCGGCATGACAAGCATGAAAGGGCTCATTCCAAAAATGGTCGTTTCACTCAACACTCCTTCCAGATGTAAATTTAAAAAAAGAAATCTATGGGATTGACTGAAGCTGGCCCGGATTCTCTTAGATCCCAGGGAGGAGTTATGAGAATTAGCCTCCGGACTTGGGCACGGGAAGCGGGGCCGATTCTGCAAGAGCCGGGCATGCGGTGCCCGTCCGCACACGCTGCCACCTGCGGGCCCAGCTCGTCCAGCCCCACCTCCAGCGACGCCTCTCCCGTCCCTT